CAACATTGCATGATATAAAATCTTCCACTCTTCACACTGTCACAATGATCAAGGAAATAAAAAACATGATTGTGATGAAACCTGGACTCAAATTGAAAAAGTTATTGAAAAGGCTGTCAGTTTTATGGAAAGAAAGTCAGCATTCAGCTATGACGATTGCAATAACACATGCAGAGTTAAAAAGTGTCTTTCGTTTAAAAACTTTCAAGAACAAAAGCAAATTGAAATGCGGAAAAAGTTGAGAATGACATTAGAAGAAAAAGAGTTATCATGCAACAGTGATTAAAAAATCCTTGTTACATTATTTGTTTTGCATATGTGGCATACTTAATTTAATTAATTTTCATTAACATTATATAATTTATTTCTTTTTCCTTAAAATCAATCCTGTTGTATTTCATTCACCATTACCTTATTTTGTTTACTATGAAACACTGAAAATAAATGTTAAACCTAATTTCAATTCTTTTATTTTAATCTAAATGTAACCAATTCCTCATATCCAGAAGGCCTTCTTAGTCCAGTTCCCAGGGATTCTACTATATATATATATATATATATATATATAATATTTTTTAATAATTTAAAAAAAAATTATTTAGTTTTTTTAAAGGGATATAATTTAAAAAAAAAACAAACTATGATCCCAATATAATACTTAATTTCACCTGCACTGCGGTAAACAGATATTTTTTTAATTCAATTTATGTAAAGTTCAGTCCAAACTCAGCGCCTGGAGATTGCATTTGCATGAAGCTCAGAATCATGCAAACAGTGATGGATGGATGGATATATATATATATATATATATATATATATAGACACACAATTGTATGTAGCAAATTAAAATGCTGGTTTATAAAGTTTTAACTTAGTATAAGTCCCAGTATCCACTTTCTTGGAAAAGCGTCAAGATAAAACTCATGCTCATTTTACCATGTAGGAAAGACGTAACAAATGTATGCATTAAATGTAGCAACATTGAGAATTGACAATAAATTAATGTGCAAGTAATTTATGCAGACATGCTTGTATACACATAAAATATATATATATACGTTCTGAGGCAAATATTAAGAGAAAATTTAAAACAGAATGAAAGAAAAAGAAACGTTGGAAATAGAATAAATTCACAAGTATGGTGAAAAGAAAAAGAGAAAAAAATCAGAAAAGTTATCAATTCAAAGTTACCAACATACATTAAGACTGGCAAAGTTTTCAGGCTGATTCTTGAACAAATGAGAGATTTGGAGCATCAGGGATTTGGTAGCACCAGGGTTGGTTGGGAAAGTTGGTAGAGTTAAATGTCTCAGGCCAAATGGTTGTGGCAGTGGGGTCATGTTGGTATTGCCATATGGATTTTCATTTTTTTTTTCTTGGTTTTACATATCCACTTTCTTGCCTAAGCATCAAGACAGAATTCCTATTAAGTTTACCACACAGGAAAAACTACCATTAAGTGTAACAACATTGAGAATTAACAATGAATTAATGTGCATGTAATTTATGTAGATGTACCTGTATGCACATAAATATATATGTACTACTGACAAAAAAAAATTTACCTTCATCTGTGTTAACAATAATTTGCATTACCTGTTGAAATGAAACTTAGATGAACAGTTAAAATTGTCCTTATGTGTCATGTTTTAATTATTTTGTTTTTGAGAACACAATTTTTCAAAACTTTAGTCTGATCTGATTTAACAATTATTGAATCTGTTAGTATTATATTTTTTATACTTCAAGATTATATGACATTACATTTATAATGATTAATAAACTAGTATGAAGCCAGTATCTTCAGTTATAGACTGTTGAAACTAGCTTCTAGTCCAATAGTATATGAGACAGAAAACAAATAAATTTTGAATATTTACATAACTTGTTTGCTTAGTAAGTGACCAAGATAAATTTGGTAACATCTTTTATGTTTTTCAAGCTCCCTAAGCCTGTGGTAAAAGTTTTTTGATATATTGAAAATAAAATTTTAGTTTGATATACCTACTTGCTGGTATTGATTTTCAGTAAATGGAAGAAGCAGGGGAACATGAACCATTTTTATTTTCACTAAACGTGTGGAGAAGTTGTTACACAATAACAAAGTGGGTATTAGTCATTTTCAGCCTATAGCTATGTTAAATACGACATTAAAGATCTTAGCAAATGGAATGCAGGCTATGCTGTCTAATAGCCCTACACTGTGAAGGGTAGATTTAGCTAAGATAACCTGCATTTGGTGTACATGATTATAAACCAAGTCACTGATCAAACTGTACTGATCAGTTTACATCAAGGTATTTAATAAGGCTGGCCACTGACATTGGTGGTGGTTGTCTTGTCTACAGTTGGCTTCAAACCAAACTTTTTCTCCTGGATATGCCTGCTACTCTCTAACATGTGATTGAAGTGAACAAGCTAAGACTGAAGTTTTCATTCTCAGATCTATTTGTCAAGCTCATCCACTTTTGTTTCTGTTGTACATCATTGTGTTGGAACATTTCCTCTGCAACTTGAGTGTAAACCCATTTCTATGCAGAATTATGTTATCTTGTGCTTCCACTTTGGCAACATATTCTTATGTTGATGGTGTAATGAGAAATGCTGAGATTGAGAAAGTTAGTAAAAAAATTGAATTATATGAGATGGTGGGAAGAATGAAATGTGATGGCAGTTGGATTCATGGAGAATCTGTGGCCTACATTGAGAATTGATGTTTAATAGCCTGGTAGCCAGGAAGCTTAACTTTAAGGGTCAAGGAAGCAAATTTTAACCTATCCTAGATGGTAGATATCAGGTCTTTCAGAAAAAAAGCTGTTTGCCAAATTTGGATTTACTTGTATGGAAGATATGATATGCACGTCTGTATATCAGACTAATAGTGTTATAATATTAAGAAGGCGCTGGTAAATTGAGAAAAAGGCTTTAAAAATAAACTGGAAAACAAGAAAAGAAACACTGTTTTTTGATAGACTGAAAGTATACTGATATCAAAACAAGAAAAACACTATATTTTTAATAGATTGAACAAGACTAGGAAAATAGAAGGAAAGGATATTTGTTTTCTTTTCTCTCCCCACACCAGGGTTGAGATGCTGATAACAGCTAGTGTAGAAGCCATCTGTTTTTGGTCAAATTAATATTAAATGATGTCATTTTCTTAAGTGTCCAATCCACTCAGTGTGGATTATATTTTAATGACCTCAAGTGTCGACGAGGGAAAAAGATAAAGCGTCAGTGGGCCACTCGTTGAATGAAGTGGGTAATGGGAAAGCCACCTACAAAGGCTAAAAGCAAGTCTCTAGCCAAAATTCAGTCAGTTGATAAGACTTGGATTTTAAGACTGACATGTTTCCAAAGGAAAACGGGAATGGAATTGTAGTTATATTTCTTTTTCATCTGCCTAAGACATGATAAAATTTATTAAATCAAAGGAATTGTCTCTTTTTGTTACTTGTTGACCAAAGAGCTGGTGAGGGGAAGTGACAGGTGGCAAATCCCAGATGCAACCAACCCCACAAAAATGCGATAAGAATTCCCTGCTGATGGAAACTTTGGATGATAATTGAATTTAGCGATTTGGGCTAAACCATGCCTAGCCTCTAGGAACAGGCTTGATCAGGAAACAAAGAGAGAGGTAAAAGCCCAGGTAGAATTGCAAGGAAGGCAGAGGAATTGCCTGCACCCTTCAGGTAGTGATGGTGAGAGTTGCTCATATTCAATATCAATATTCTGCCACCACCACTCTTTGGAGTAGGGATCTCCCCAAATTTGGTCAGGCAATCAGTTTCCCAACCACCTCATGCCCTGCATTGGGTTTGTGTGAGGTGAGAGAAGAGAAGAAGACAACTTGAGGTGCTATTTGCAAGAGAGACACATTGCCAGTTGGTTCAAGACCTGCTTTGCCAAACCCTGTGCAGCTTCTGCAGAAAGAACTTAGACTCCAGCCTTGTTCCTGACCATGAAATACAACTGAATGGTTGGCCTGAAGAAATCACAGTGGAAGAAATCAGACTTCAGCCTTGTACCAATTTACCAAACATGGCTAAACATAGTGTCACAGGGTATTAAGAGGGAAGGTGCTGAAAATCTACATGTTGTTAATTTAGTGAGTAGCATCTTCATTGTATAAACCTTTGATATAAAGTTGTTGTGTTACACAGTTATTTCTTTGTTCCTTGTGACCTTATCTCACCAAAGCTACCGGATTAGTGACATTGAGTATATGACTTAGCCTTCGCCTACCCTGTGATCTAAAACAGACACAATGTGGGCAGGGTGGGATTGAGGATTGGGGCAACCAACTTCAAGGCTTTTTGTAAAGATCAACAATGGTCTTTCCCTGTGTCTGAGGGTGGGATTGTGAGGACATAATAATGGGTAATCAAATAATAACAGAAAACCTCTTATATGTATTGTTTGCCTCTTTTTTTTATTAATCATACTGGATTCATACAAGTCTTTCACTTTTTACAAAGAAATAACAATTGGAAATATCTAAAATATCTTACAATTTTTAAATGTTTTTATAATGCAGAAATGAGTCTTGGGTTTCATTTCATACATTTGTAGAAATAGGTTTCTGTTTCTCGACATTTTTATCAGAATGGATCATTGTTCCCCAAAATCATTTGGTCTGCAAATTACACATGTTCAAGAAATTTTAGAATTGGCAACTTTTTTAAAACCCTGTTATATATTTGTATCATCTAGTACAGATTAGAGTTTGCATCCTTGATCCTTAAAACTGAGCTTTTTTGCTGCTGGATTATAAATGATACCTGAAAACTATTAGGGATCAAAATATAGTGATGAACATTTTGCTGATCAGGATAATTAAAAATATCTGTCATTACTAATGTAATAAATCTGCAAAAAATTTATTTTAGTAAATTAAAAAAATGTGAGTCAAGATTAGTATAAGAAAAAATCTTTCTCCAGAGGCTAGAGATTTATTAAATCAGTGAATTATCATTTATCTCAATGTTTTCATTTTTAAGATTGATAATGAAGAGTATGGAGAGGCACTGGCCTTGGCAATGGCTTATAACCTGGACTGTGATTTGGTTTACCAGCGTCAGTGGCACAAATCCCCAGTATCTGTGGCCTCCATAAATGATTACTTGGTAATTATTAATACCATTATTTATACTTGTCCAAATGTTTACTATCTGTTTTGTTATTTATGTTTTAGATATTTAGAAAATAAGATTATTATTTATCATTAGCTCCTCAGGACACTAATACTTTTTATTTGTTTATTTTCAGCGCAAGATTAGTAAAAGGTCTTGGGTACTCCATGAATGTTTGGAACGAGTCCCAGACTCTATCCATGCACTTAAAGATCTTTTAAAGTATGGTCTTAAAGGTACTGATTTGCAAGCCATGATTGCTATTGCCAAAAAAGAGGATGGAGGAAGGTAATTTTCTATTTTTTTTATGTGGTTTCATTTTATTGAAATTGGGGAAAAGAAGAATAAAATATTTATTTTCTAGGATTGTAAGGGGAGACTAATTTTTCCTGAGAATAATATATGAATATCTATAATTACAGAAATTTTTACAGTTTATTTACACTATTTATATTTGGACTATTATCTTCATCTTTGTTGTTGTTATCACTACATTTTAGCTGTTGTGCCCTTTGACCTTCCTCAGGTATATATCAATCTGGGTAACCTACGGGGAATTCTGAACTGAACCCTTTATATAATCTATGGTAGTAGACTGTTCTCATTCCACTGCTCATGTCTAGGGATGTCGTCTGGTTCTAATTTTTATTTACTACTGTTCATTTATTAGATTGCTGCTGCCTGTTATGTTTTGACTGCTGCTGCTCTTTAGTTGAAGATTTGCTGTCATATGTCTTTCTTTCATTTGACAGCAAGTCTTTAACAAAATCAAAATATGTGCAGCAGCAGCAGTTGCAACCTAATCAGCAGCCAGATTAGGTTTAAGGCTCTAATTTCACTACAAAAAATGTCCTGTGGGACAATGGCCTAGTGGATTTTTGGTTTGTGAATTTTGTGACATAGTGATTATGAGTTGAATCCATGGGTTGGGCAGTGTGTACTTGTACTCAATGTGTGAGCAATAACTGAACAGTACTAAATAAAAATAAGACATGAGCAGTGGAATGAGAACAGTCTACCCATGTAGATTAAATAAAGAGTTCAGGTTAGAATTCCGTGTAGGTTACCCAGATCAATATCCACCTGGAATTGGCTGAAACATAGTGATAACAACAAAAAAGATGAGGACAAAAATCTGAATATAAATAGTGTGAATAATGATAACTCCTCATCCCAGAAATTCAGACAACAATAAATCAGTTTAAATATTAGAATTGATTCTCAACTTATATTTATATATGTTTTTTTATTTTGTGACTCAGTTCTGAGAAAACAATAACTTTGGCATTTACAAGATTTTTTAGCATTCTCATTAGTACAACATTACAACTGATAGTACAATGTAAAAATTGAATCCAACCTTAATAACATTACAGGTGATTAGAAAATTTGGTAATCAAACTGAAAAACAAAACAAGGGTAAGGATATCAAAACAAATGAAGATTGTGTATCTTAAGAGTATTTAACTATTTTCCAAAAGTATCTCAAAATTATCTTTTCTGAATAAAAAAAATTAAGTTCATGAATATATAATGGTGCATTGAAAAGTTATCAGTTTGATGAAAGAGAGATTCAAAAAATTATGATGTTTGGTCAGATTTTGGAAAGAGGGTTAGGCCAAAAGCTTTTTAGCACCTCCTCATAATTAAATGGGAAAGGCAATATTTTTAACACTTTTTTAATTATTGGTATCTAAATATATACAAATGTGAAATTTGTGCAGTAATATTAGGTTTATTTTTTTATGCATTTCAGATTTGTAATATGTGATGATGATGAACTAATCATTGATAGTGATGATGAATATGAAGGTATTGATTTTTTCAATATGGCAAATTTACAAAAACAGCAAGAGAAAATTTTTAAAAAGAAGCAAGAATTACTTGATCAAATCAAATTTGCCTCGTGAGTGATAATTTCTTTTATATCACTATTTTACTTAATGTTTGATATACAAACATATGTTAATTTAAAATAAAATATGTCTAAGCATAATTCATTTGTCAACCTAAGAGATGGTCCCTACATGTGAGGGGAAATTGGGTAGGTGAAATTGTTCAGAAGTCATTGGTGGTTGTGATAGCACAAAGTCATGGCTATTGTTACCAAAGGCCTGATTATACCAGATTGTGCAATCTTTTTCAGAAACTAACTCGGCACAGTTGCAGTATAAACCATGTTAACTCTCTTAGGTGTTGAATAAACACAAAGATGTTTCAGCAGATGTCTGTAACAGACACCCTTGTAGACAAGTAAATTTAAAACCCATTAGTTAACAATTATATATATATATATATTCTCCCATTGTTTTCAACATATGAGTGTTCAATTCTTAGAACTGAACTGCTAGACTATCCATACATATGTTTTGATTATAATGATGAAGGCTTGTGCAGAATCACACACACTTTTCAGAAGAATGAAATAGAGAACTGTTGCACATGGTGTGCCACAAGTTCTCCAAATGACAGTTTTGAATTCAGAGTTGCCCTAGACTGGTTGCTAACAAAGACTATTGGGCCCTGTCTGTCCCCATAGTTGTGAGGAGAAGAGATGGATTCATACTTTTCTCATATGTGTATGTGTGTGTGTTCATATTTATTTATTAGTGTATGATTTATATATTTAATATATATTAAATTTGGAGAGAATCAAAACTAAAAATGGTTAAATGAATAAAAATGCCCAGTTTATAAGGTTTTTGCTCGTATATTAATATCATAACTTTATTCAGAAAGATCACACTGAATTAAAAATGTTTTTTAAATATCAAAATATTTCCTAGGTATGTCATGTTAACATGAAAATTAACAAAGCCATGTATTATGGAAAAGTAATTCTCAATGTTTAATCCAATATTACCAAAATGTAGCTAATTTTGTTAATGTATGTATTTATATCATCTTCACTACATTATGGCTGGAAGTACTAAATAATATAAAGGATATGACACAAGCAAATGGAAAAATATTATACTCAGATTTAGCATTTAATATAGATGTCTTCATTGAAAATTACTCAATTTATTATAAAAACACAAAAGAATCATTGCATAATTTCTTCAATATGCTTTGTACTCCAAAACCTGGCAGTTTTCAAAAAGGGGTGAATTTTTTGTTAATCTAGAATAGCATAAAAAGGAGAAATTCCTTTTACGACTGTAAAGTGCATCATTGTATAAATCACCAAAATTCACTGTGTCTTGAAGTGTCTTTATCCAAATAGACAGGAAATTAAGAAATAAAAAACAAAACATTGCAAAACTGAATGGATCCAAATTTTCATCACATGAATGATTATTATATTGCAACCAGAAGAAATCTACTTTTTTGAACCAGTCAGCATTTAACAGAAAAAGCAGTGGGTGATGAAGATGTAGGACAGATATTTAGCATTTTGGTACACTCGTTTTTCTAATTTTGCTCAATTTTCAAGCAGTGAATGAGTATGGCCAATGAAGGCTGGAACTCTGTTATACAACATCTGAAATTTGATTTTGCTTTAAATAACACATAAAGAGTTGATAAACCATAAAAAACAAATCAATCAACCATGTTATACAACAATAGAAAACAGGCTAAGAATAAGAAATTTGAAATAAAGAAAAATATTAAAAACAACCTTTATCAAATAACTTGCTTAATATTTTTGGTATAGCCTAGTTGAAAGTGCTGCAACACCTAATATGGTGATGCTGGAGCCTTGTACTTCATAGGGACTCTATAGGGTTTACATACATACTGTTTGGATGTCACACAAAGGGAATATAACTTTGATGTTCAAAGAATAAAAAGTTCAAAATCTGCTGTGAACAAGTTTTCTAATTTTTAATTTGCACAATAAAATCCTTTTGAATTGTTTATATCATTGAATAAAAGCTCTTGATTGAAAAGAGATTTTTATATTGGTCATGTTTCTGTATCAGTATGAAAAGTGAGCAAGTGATCACAAAATGTGACTAAAAAGGAAATATTTTATGTGAAGACATCAACATGTATAATTATGGCACACAAAATGTAGCTATCACTGCAAATGACTCCTAAAAATTAGAAAAAACATGAAATTAAATGTTCTGGGTATGATAGAAAATTTATTGGTTATTCAGATGTTTCCTATTTCATATTTTTAACAACTTCCATTTACAGTTAAATGTGTTTTTAAGTAACTTGTTATACACCTTTCTCTCTTCAAGTTGTAAATTTCCATAGTTCTGCCCCATTAGAATCTAGGGTATGAGAAAGAGGATTATTTTTTAAACCATATCTCAATTCCATTCTTCCTCATCATAATTACTCTATTTTCAGTCTATTTTTTATATTTTTCTTTACAATTATATGCTTTATTTTATTTCACATGTTTATTTGTATGTACTTTTAGAAATAAATGACATGACTCACTTTCAGTGATAATGTATTGAAGGTGATACAAATACATTACAGAATCAATGACATATTCTTGTTTATGAATAAAATGTTGATCATGTACAATTTAATACTGTCTTCTTTTATTTTAAATTATCTGATGTTTTATAACTGTGTATTATAAATATCTTTACAGACTTAATTATTTGTAAAAAAAAAAACTATGGATAAATATTGTGGCACATAATTTATGGTGAACTATTTTTGTAAAGTTTATAATTAGTCGCTCAACACATTTTTATTCCAGTTTATCACTTGAACAAAAAGAACTATGCCGAGCTCGTCTCAAACTACTTCAGTACTTGGATCGTCTAATGACTTATGAGGTAGGATTTATGAAATTATAGCATTCTGTTAGTAGACGTTTATGTAACATTTCAGTTCACTTTAGTGATAAACCAAAGAACTTGGAAAATGTTTTGAAAAATATTGTTTTCATTTTTTTGAGTTTATAAAAGTATTTTGTAGTTTCCTTTTATGTCTATGAAAATGTAAACTTGGTAATTTTATTTAGTCTTAGTAAATAAATATGTTTTTATTTTGAAACTTTAATTAAATTTCTATTTTTCAGTATTAAATAATGTATTAACAAATGAAATTATCTGCTCATATTAGCAATCATCTTGTAATAAAAAGAAATCTCTTTTATAATTATACACTTGAGGATGGCTACAGAATGGATCAGTTGAAACTGGGTTAAGAGCATCAACAACACAAGAGATTTCTTTAAATCTTCTTTTTATTTTATTACATTGCTAAAGAATCTTTATTCCTCAGAATTTTTCTTTTTGAAGCAATATTTGTTGAATAATGAAGTTTAGATTTTTTTCCAGTTATTTGGGTTGTGAATTCCTGTCTCCTGAGTCTGATAATATGAGTTAAATAAATGGGATATTCTAGCAATGAAAGTTAAAATGCATTAAACTATGGAAATGTGTTAATGAATAAATAAATGAAACACTGCCAAATAAGTGGTAAATAAATTTAATTAAGAAGTTGTTGAACATTTAAATTAGCTTTGAAAATTGACTTTTATTTTAAAAATAATTTCACCCCAAGCAAGGCCACTAAGATGCTGGGGGTTATAGAGTGTGAAAGAATATAAGAAAATGAGAAAGATTATTAAGGAATGAGAACAATAAAGGAACAGGAATCAAGAAAACAGAAGATAGCAATTGACATTGCATTTAAAGTTTTTAGATCAAACTTAAGTGGAAAGCAAGTAGCCATGATCAAAAAGTGTTTGAAAAGAAGCTGTTAGCATAGAATTTACAGTTATATCTAGTCATTTCAACTGGGAAATGATGAGACCTTGCTGCCAATCTGGTACTGATCTTAAATTCATAATGTCTAGGTAACATAGAGGAAACTTCATCAGAACAATTTCCATGAAATTGTTTATAGAAACGCACAAGGAAGCTACATTATGGTGGTGGGAAAGTGACTGATGCCGAGATGTCAGGTCAGGACCAACAACATTGCAAATTCTTCTTTGGGTTTTATTGCGAATCTCTAAATATATAGCAGAAGTGCCATACTTCTGCTTCTGTATTCATTGAATCTAAAAACATAAGTGATAGAAAGACTTGAGTTTGCCAAATAATAAAATTCTGAAAATTTTCCAAACTTTTTCTACATCACTGTCAATATGATATGGAAGAATTTTTGTCAGTTTCTTAAATTTTTATTTGCAATATTTTTAAAAGGATTTTGCTAACAGTCCTGAAAAAGAATTAATAAAAGAAACTATCAATGTTTCAAGTTATAATGAATCAGTTCATATAGTGGAATTCATAATGCCTTATTTAATGAGAACAGATTTAAAAAATCACATCTGTATTTAACTTATAGCTAATTATTTTTTTCAAAACATGCAATATTTATGTGAAATTTTTGTTTAAAAATTTATTTGTAGCTTATTCTTGGCGGTATTCATTCTGCACCTGAACATTTTGATCGTGTTTTTTTTGAGACCTTTCGTTCAGAGAATCTTGTGGAAGCAGCTGTTAAATTTGCTCAGGTAATCTTGTCATGCTATAATTATTCAGCTAATATGAAGATTTAAAGGACAATATAATTTTTTTTAATTCATTGTTTAATATTACATATAATTTTTTTTAATAAAAAATGATACTTTGATATTACTTGTTTCCTAATACTGCCTAAAATTTTATTGTAATTAAACATTATGTAAAATTTATGCTTTCTAAATTGTATTCTTTCAGGATAGTGAAACTGTGGCAGTTGAGGCATTATTCAGCTATCATGGAACTGACGTCTTACCACATAGGTATATTAGATGTTATATATTATTTTGATTTTGTATGCTGTTATAAAGTTATGAAATAGATATTTAGTTTACTAAGAGGTTATATAAAAGACATTTCATATTATCAGTAAAAAATTAATAATTCTTTCATATCTGCATATTCTCTGATACATTTGTTTTCTGTATATGCAAATTTTGTTTAGAGCAACATTTTTAGTGAAGCAGTACTAGGTTGCCTAAAAATGGTTTAGTATCTCCACAATCAGAATAAGAAAATGAGATAACATCAGTCATTAATTTTTTTTCTTGTATAATTCTATAATTTTCTGTTACATATACTAGTGTGAAAAAGTTTGGGGTCAACTACATAAAATGATTATGCACTTTTATTTTATTGAGATGTCAGGATTTTTTAACAGCATATTTTATTAGTAATGTCTTTGGATCTTTAGTATTGGAAAATAAGTTGTTGCATTTTCATAGGTGCCATGTAACAGAAGATATGCCTCTTTCAGCAGCTTGAAGCTGAAAATAAGCCATGCAAAACTATTGGACCAATGAAAGATCTGAGATGATAATATCCAAATTTCTAAGTAGGAATTGTTTCATCTTATTAACATGAGTGTAATGTGTCTTGGTAAGTAATTAGCTTGCTTTTTTACACTAAAATCATGGCTAAAATTTCTGCTGAAACCAAAATGAAAATTGTGAATTTGAAGGGAAAATGATTCAAAGAAAGTGAGCAAGATGTCTGGGAATTTCCCGAAACAGTTTTCAAGCCACCCAAAAGAAGTGTTTTAAGTGAAAAGAAAACTGGAAGACCACAAAAGTTAGACAAGAGAGATGAAAGAAAGATTGTGAGAGTCTCAGTAGGCAATCTAAAATTAACAACCAGATAAGTGAGGCTTGAATGCAGTCTTAAATATTCAAGAACACTTAATCACCGATACCTAATATGTTGATTAAAATTCCACAGAGACAACTACTGATTGATATTATTGTTGTCAAGTATGTAAAATCTTATGATTACTCAAAAATATAAATAACTGTTATATTTCATGGTTTAAGACTTCTCTTTTTCACTTTTAATGGTGAAGTTTCACTTTAGAAATAAAACCATCAAATCTTTTATTAATATACCAACAACTCTAGTATAAGTTGCATTCAGTGTCTAGTTTCTGTCATTTTTCAAAATATTCTGCAGCAGCAAAGGCTACTTGGTACCAGCTTTTAACTAAATTTGAACTTTTATTGCAACTGCAGTCTTGTATACACATAATCTGAAAGATGTGAACATATCAAATAGAGTGGAACCTCAGTTCACAAATTTAATTTGTTTCTGAAGATCATTCATGATCTGAAGCTATTTCTCCCATAAGAATAAATGTAAAATGGAGTAATCCAATCTTGGATCCCAAATGATTGCTTATTTAAACTTTTATGACAATACTTTGTGTACAAGTTCATATACAAAACTAATGAAAATCATTAAATTATTTATCTCTAGTTTCCTGAAGATAGGTTTTCATAGACTCAAGAAATTCATGGCAACAAGGATGTTGACATCCTTTCATTGCAGGACCTTGCTTGTTTTGTTCATTCTTTCTAGCATGTCATTTCAAAGAATTGTGAGAAAGATTATTTCCAGGTTTTCCCTTTTTTGCTCAATCCTTCTGCCTCTCACCTTGTATTCATTTGTTGTTCATTGTCAGCTGATAGGGAATCCAGTGCATGAACAGTAAAAAAAATGTGCTGACCATCATATGTCAGACAGACACTTGACCACAAAATCTTTCCCTAGAGATGATGTCAATACATTCCAGCAAAGTGTAGAACCAGGAAAAATAAATACAGATGCTGAACAGTCTGTAGACAACACTGCTGCTTTTACTCCTAACAAGTTCAGGCTGTGTCCTGTACAGGGGACATAGATGGAAACCTCATTGGGTTGATGAATCCATGCATGCAATCCAGTATATTGTCCAGACATATTTATGTCATTATCATATGATTGACCATGGCAGTTTGATAGTGGAATTTTCTTCTCATTAAGAAAATTCACAACAGTGTCTGTTAGATCCTTTGCTTCATGAGAAAAGATGAGGATGAACATCAAGAAATGTTCCACAGGCTCACAGCCTTTAATGTATCAGACAGCAAATGTCAGTTTATCTGTGTGTGAGAAGTCTGGAGTGGAATCTACACTTATTGAATAATACTTTAACTCTTTTACTTCTTCAAGAATAATACAAAGAAGCTGTTGTCCCATTAATTCAATAAATTCCTCACAAATATTTACAGATAAATATGATGGATTCCCTTTTCCAGGATTTCCATACATTTTGAGATGTTCTTCCAAGAAAGGGCCAAATTCACTCAGCAGCCCTAGTATACCTAAATAGTTGCCATTTTTTGCTGATCCAATAATCTGATTTTCTCCATGAAATACAATAAACCTCTGGTGACAAGAAAGCAAATTACAGAAACCACACGTGTCAACACTTTATGCTAATATTCCTGCTCAAGTAATAGGCTTCTAGTTTCTTTATGCCTTATTAAATATGCTGTCATGCACTTTCGATATTCTTCTCCATTTTCATGTTCTACAATAACATTGCTGTGCTTCCAGTCATTGAACCCTGATATAACAAATGGAGATTCTTTCTTCGACAAAAGGCACTATACAAAGCAGTACAAACAAACTTGGGGTGGTGAATAGAGTAGCCATTCATGTTTTATTACTCACCATTCCTCAGTTCACATTTGAACACATCAGTTGATAAATACCTTGCCTTCATATTCCCTACTCCAGCTATTTTATAGACTCTGCATGAGTTTGAAAGGTTGCTATCATGATTCTGACATGATGAGGGCCCACTATGAATCTAGTAATTTATTGTGTTAGTATCATTAATGTTCCATAGCCCTGGATATGTCTCCTGAATTGCAAACTCCTTTACTGTTACAGATTTGGATATTTCATTTTGTAAAATGTCACCAGCAGCTGCAACAGACAATGATGTTATGTCTGCTGAAATTAGATGATTAGTGGTAGCAGGAATGAATGTAGATCTGGATGCTATATCCAAAGTGGCTGACATTGCAGGAGTGGATGCTGATGTAGATGCTATATTTGAAGGAATGGTATGAGTGGCAGTCGTTGCACTTGTGTTGAGCCACAATGTTAATTTTGGAAGTTTTCCTATTTTCTCCTTCTCCTCTGCAGCCCTATTCTTCTTCTGTGTCCTTCCTTTAATTGTACAAATAGTATTTATTCTGAATACAAACTCTCTACTGTGTGCTGATTTACAAAACTAGATCTAGCTTAGTGGCAATCGAGGGTGACTGGCAATGTCTAGCCTCATATATGTATAGATCTACAAGCCTATGTTCACACTTTTCTCAACTTGCACAATTAAAATCTTATCAATTCATATATTCACAAATTATCAATACCTGGTAATTAGTACTGCATCATAAATTCATAATCTTAAATAGCCACTACATGTTTACAAGTGTTGTGATTGAATCTCAGGTTCAGTCACTAATAATCTATTCATAGCACTATACCTGGGTTCATATACAATGTATAAATATATCCAATAACCATATTACTATTAATAGTACTACAGTTGGGCTAATGTTACTTCTGCATTTTTTAAATTTGCATTAATGTTTAAATCAACATATGGATGAATAAAGAAATTCTACAATAGAAAACAACATTTTAAACAAACACAGATACAAAGTCAGTTTTATCAAAAATAATATCTGAAGAGAAATATGAATGACTTTCTTTGTTGTTGTGAAATGAACATCGAATGAGAAAATTATTTGTTTTAATTAAGACAGCTGAATTGCTGTTTTTGTTTTTGAAATGAACATCAAAGCTTAGGATGAGCCCCCATTTTTGTTGCAACAAAACGAAAAAATGGAGGGAGAATGTGAAAGAAAAAGGGAATAAAGAAATACTATCAACACTTTTATATCAATAAAAATAATTTCTTTACAAAAGTAAAAATATAAATATATTACAATTAAATATTCAAAACAATATTGATTCAGTCAAGGGGAAATTTAATAATTAAATCAAACCAGAGAAAAAATAAAAGATAATATTGTTTCCAACAGAAAGTCAACAGTAGTCTTGGTCACAAATATTGAAAGATAGAAAAGAGAATTTTACTGACAAGTCTGTGCTAGCACTGTGAAGAATGATCATCAAGGGTCACAGTTCTTTGATCTTTTCTGTGGTAGAAAAATTGTCTGCAAGTGAATTGAACTGGGGAGACAAACCAACCCTTCAATTTATATAGGTGGGTGGCCTCTTTGTTTCTAGGTGAAAAGGGGACATTCTCCCACTTTCCTTTTTATTTAAGAACCAACTCAAATGAAATGACGTATATTTTCATCAATGGCAATATGCATGGCTTGTAGTTGTAATTTCTATTTTTAGTATTTCCTAAAAAGGGGCTTCTGTAACACAAGTCACTTAATATACAGAGATTAGCATGAATGAAAATGCAGTAACTTGTTTTCTGTATCTCAAAAATCACCCTGACATGGGGCGGTAGCACATGTTAGGGTCCCAGCTATGGGTTATCCTCTCCCCCAAACTGGGATCTGAATATTATGAAAGTGTAAAGATGGGTTTTTATAGTAAAAATACCAGAAATACAAAATGCAATATATAAACTGCACATTCACAAAAATTGATTCCCTAAAACTACAAATTCCTCTCAATGGGGTCACCTTATGATACCTGGGGATGGAGTTCTGGTGATTGACTCCTGATCTAGTATAAAATGACCAGGAGTTTCCACATGTTACTTTGGTCCCTACCTGGGATAACTGGGTGGATGGAATAGCCCAATCCATTCCAATTGGCTAGTCACATAGTGCCAAGGGCAAGTTGAGATGAAAGATAATGCCTCCAACATGGCTGTAAATCCTTACACCATACTATACTTGGGTAGATATGGTGCGGGAATGTGGGTACTCATATTCATTTTCATCACGACTATACTGTCTGTGTAGCCCTGGCGGATCAGGGTGAATAGGATTAGTCCCCCCTTATAGCGTCCCTTAAGAAGGAACTCTGAGGTAGATGGGGAACACAGACGGCAAATACAAAATAGAAAATTATATGGTCAACTCTTATAAACAAACCAAGAGACAATATGAGACTTCTGAAACAGAAAATTATTATCAGAAAAAAAAATTTCCACCTTTCATAGTTATCGAATCATTAGATGGTGAAATATCAAAAGCGTCTCCTTTTGTATTGAAAAAGGTTATATCAGCCATGATAGAACCAAAATATGTAAAAAAAAAAGAAAGAAAAATAACACTTCTAATTCAAATAAAAACCAAAAAAGATGCAGAAAATTTACTAAAAATCAAGCAAGTAAACAACAAGAAAGTAAAGGTTTACCCCCACTAATTCTGAGGTTCATCTAAGAGAGTATTAAAATGCCCAGAACTGTCACTCTGCTCACCAGAAGAAATAAAAAATGATGACACCCTAAAAACGCAAGGAGTAACAGATGTCAAAAGAATTCAAATAAAAATAAATGACACATTAATAAACACAAACACATACATTTTGACATTCAACAAACCTACTCTACCAAAAGAAATAAAGATAGGCTACACAATAGCCAAGGTAGAGCCATACATTCCTAATCCCTGTAGATGTCACAAATGTCAGAAATTTGGTTGTATGAGAGCATCAGTCTGTCGAAGATGTGGGGAATTTGAGTCTGATCATGAAGAGTCACCCTGTGAAAGGCCTCCTTTATATCCAAATTAATATATAAACATGATGCAAAAAATTATTCATTGGAATTGTTAAGGCCTAAATTCAAACATAAATGAACTACTATTACTATTCATAACAAATCATCTTCCTGCTGTCATTTGCCTTCAAGAAACTGTCCTAAAACCTAATGATATATCAAAAACTATACTCAATATAACTACATACATGACATTAAACAGAGGGCATCTGGGGGTGTATTGATCCTTATCAGAAATGACATCCCCAAAATAAAATACTTCTAGAAACCAATCTACAAGCAATTGCTGCAACAACTACCTTACATAGAACTGTCAACAGCTGCTCTATTTACATCCCACTGCATGATCCTATAACAGAAACTGATCTAAATAAACTAATAGAATAACTACCAAAACCATTCATATTATAAGTAGCATGTAGGCATCAAAGAAGCTAAAAGAAAATCAAGAAGAGATTATATAAATAAAAATAAAAAAACTCCAATACGAAACAAAAAAAAGTTTGGAATATGATAAGGAAAATCTCTGGCAAAAATCTATCTCCACCTCCAAATCACCTTTCTGAAAATAACATAAAAATAACAAGCAAAAAGGATATAGCAAATCTACTTGCAGAAACCTTTAAAAAAATTCCTCTAGCGAAAACTACAAACAGCAATTCCAAAAAGTTAGGCATGATGCAGAAAAAAACAAATAAGCTGAACTTTAACTCAAAAAACAAAGAAGATTACAACCATCTTTTTACTCTAAATTTACTATAGATGCCATAAGTGAATCACATAGTACAGCTACTGACCCAGATGAAATTCATTATAAATTTCTTAAACAACTCCCCCCAAATCCATAAAATATCTGTTAAACATCTTTAACAAGATATGGTTTAAGGGAAAACTACTGAATAACTGGAAACAAGCTATTGTGATCCCTATGCCAAAACCAGATAAAGATAAAACAGAAAAACTTCTGACCTCTAGCACATTGCTTATCACTCCTAAAATTATATAAAGCTCTAATAAGATCTAAACTATACTACAGTTGATTTGACCTGGAAATCCTATCTAAGAACCCTTGACCCCATTCACCATGCAGTATGAAGACTGGCTATGGGTGCCTTCAAAACATCACCCATAGAAAGTTTATATGCTGAAGCTCATGAGGCGCTGTTAAAATTGAGATGTGAAAAACTGGCATTACAATATTTTCTAAAACTCCTGCCCATTTAACCCTGCCTATCACTGTACCTTCAACCCTAAATATAAAATCTGTTTGATAAGAATAATTGTGAATTAATGATTGTTTTATTGTTCCAAAAATTAAAACTATTATTTTTAAGTAATAGATACATAATTTTTTTTCATTTCATTCTAATATAGCTTAACTTTTGACACATTTTGGTTACTTTTGTACTTTGTTTCTAATAAGTAATACTACTATTCCTAGGTTAGCTATCTTGTCTAACTTCCCAGAAACAACATCACCTTCAGAGTACAGTCACCTGCTTCCAGAAGTTGGGTAAGTGGTTTTATACATATTTTTCTAATTTTGAAAAAGAATGTCATAATTACTTATAATTACATCTGTACTAACCTTAGAAAACACAAATTGTGTCTTGACCAGTATTAAAGAGAAAGATATTTTCTAAGCAATATTTGTTCTTTTCAACTATGAGAAGAACATGAAGATGTAATCACTGCTTCATGCTTATATTACATCCACACACAGAATTCATTCCATTTTTAAATATAGAGTGTAGATAGTTAAATGGCCGTGGTTAAATGTAATTGGCAGAAATGCCCACCAAACAGAATTGAACATGTTATCAATAAAAAAAAATAACAAAAGAAAGAAAGAACAGGGCAAAAATAATATTAAGCAAACAATATATGCAAGACAAAAGGAAGTAAAGCAGCAGGGATAAGGCAAAAAATTTACAAACTAAGAATGATGTTAACACAAAAGGGACATAGACAAGTAATCACAGCGTTCTGACTTCAAGAAAGAACAGAAGAAGTTGGATGAGACAAATGTGACTTACCTTATTAGCTAGGAAGAAAACCCAGTATGCATCTATGGTTTGTTTATAAATTTTGGGAGGAGAATGGTATTGCAGTCATTCCTCTAAGAGATTAGAGGATGCTTGAAAATTGGTAAATTACTGATTCTGATTAACCTATATCTTGTGATAAAAATTCACAATTGTGCACTTTTGTTATATTAGGCTGATAAAGATTAATTCAAAGCAAGGTATATAAAATGGAACACATAATACAGAATTTCTTTTGTTTGGACACCAACATTTGATGTTGTTCTTTAATCACTTTTTCATTTTTAATTCATGAATAGAACTAAATAAAAAGAGCTTTTGTTCTTAGAATCTT